CTGGGTGAAAGAATAAGCTCCCATTCTGTTCAAAGGCAAAATTGAAAAGGAAAAAAAATAAATGGAAATAACTGAAATCAGTGTTTATAAAGCTTTACGAAAATGTATGCTTTTATAGGAATAGCGCAAACAATTTTCACGCTATTTCAGCTTGAATGAAAACGCTCATTTTCCTTCCGTGATCCCTTAAGGTGTCGAAGGGAAAACGGTTCATTTTACTTTATATCGCTTTTTAAAATAAGAGACGGGCTAGACATAGAAAATGCAGCATCCTTCCTTGTGAGGAAATACGTCGACAATAATTGCACAAAGAAGCATCGAGGTTTGTTTAGAGAAAGTTGTTAAATAATACTGAGAATGAAAAACACAATGTATTTTTTTGGTTGACAGATTTTTGGTCGTAAGAAAAACAATCCAGTTGTTCACTGTTTTCTCCCATGATTCTTAAAACTGGAAAGTAAAGCTTTGTCGGCAACGTGACAATCGCACGATCTGCTCAGCGCGGAAAATGAAATATTACTCCGCCACGAGCGGATGTATCTGTAGTCTTGACCTCGTTTATCAGGGTAATTAAAGCCTTTACCTCGGTAATTTTTTTTCGCCTTTTGCGGCATTTATTAAGGCATTAGTTGGTGTTCACACGCGCCAAATGTTTACCTAGATAAGTAAACTCTGGTACCTCGATAAAACGTTCAAGTCTAAAAAAACGCACCAGACTGTCAGTCAACTGACTCATCATTCTTCCGTATTTTTCAGTTAAAGGGTATAAACTGCAGAAATAAAATCTAATTCTTTAGGAAGAAAGACATCATAACTAGAAATAACATCTAGCTCAACCTAACAGAGGAACTCTGTATGAGCAAGAAACATTTCCTATTTGCTTTGCGTGTTCCGAGGTCGCTTACAAAAAAACTAGCCACTAAATATTAACTTCAAAACACTAACGCATGATGGCAACTGATATTTTCGAAATAAAAAAGTCAACTTAACAAGCTCCTTCTCTCGCACTCGAGAGAGCTCAATCGCTTTACACGTGGTTTTTTAACGTGAAAATTCAATTCGTGGCCAGAGCAAACACCTGGTTTAGAAAACGGGTTAAATCAACGTTGTTGCTTTCCGCTTGAAGTCTTAAAGGAAAAGTACGGTCTAGAAAAAGTTTATCTCAATTAAAAGAGTTTTTCCTCAGGAGTTCGAAAATAACTGCCATTTTGTCTAATTTGCTTTGCTTTAGCGACAAGAGCGCTTCGAAGTTGCCCCTTTTTACAACTTTAGTGGTTAGAAAAACGCCATCTTGGATATACGCAATTGTGACGTAGCAATAGTCAAACTTACACCTTTTGCTGTTCATTACGAGAAAATACGCATTTATTTGCATTAAAAGCCGAACACTTGCGTGCAAATACATTCATTAACGTTAAAAAACGATTATTTGCGTGTAAATTAGATTCGATAACGATCTTTGCATTTTAATCAGCATTTAATAACAAGTTTGGGCATTCTTACGCGTCATTCGTCAAACAAAAGAGAAAAATTTACCTTCATTTGCGCTAACATTCAAGTCATTTGTACCATCTTGAAAGTCAATAGAGACAATACACAAACAATATAGTGCATAACCATTCATTAATATTTTTATCACACTGTTTGAAATTCAATAAAATTCCTAGACGGCATTAGTGTGAATAAGAAAATCATTAATGCACTCGTAAAAAAAATTCAGTATTTTTACATTCAATATGCAAGTAGCGATTTTCAATTGAACACCGATTTTTCCGGAACTTACATTCAATAAATTTTGTCCAGTTCATTCGCTTTGTAAAATGTCGCGAAGAAACCGAATATCACTCGAACCATAGTGCTCGAACACAGAGAGAGAATCGTGAGAGGATTTGAGGACGAGGAAGAAAATTATCTGATTGTATTTTCACGCAGTCGTTCGTCCCTTAACGCAAAAGAATGCGTATATTTTCGTAATGAACAGCAAAAGGTGTACGAGTAGTTTAGGACTTTCTCCTTGTTGACTGGTTTGACCTTTTGTCAAAACAATTTCTAATACTCCCAATAGTTGAAATGAGATGAACTGTCCTGTTTTTGAATGTCAAAATACATAGTAAAATTCAAAAGGAAAAGGTGCAAGCCTCTATAAGCTACCGGAAACTGAAATATTAAAGAAAAGTTAGCCAGCAAAAATGACCCGCGACGACGGCTTGCCGAACCCTGTAAAACCTCAGAACTGCCAGAACGAAGACTCCCAGCGAGATATTCAGGCATGTAAGTTTTCCTTGTTGACCTTCGCTTCAAACTGAAAGCTATGCTTACCTTTTCCATATTCAACACAGCTCTCAGTTATTTATTCTACGAGTTTTTTTAAACCATTTTATTGTAAGCGAATAAATTGAAGCTCGTAATGGTGGTACACCATGTGTGGTAAATTTTCAGTCGCCACCCTTGCCCAAG